ACTAAGCATCACTGGTCACTTTACTGAGTGAAATAGGAGGTCTGTACATAGGAAAATGTTAATTTGTTTTGATTTTTAGTTTACTGGTTAATATAAGATAATTATGTATATAAAGAGACAAAAAGACGGCGCACGGGCCTAGTGCATTACCTTTAAAAATGAGATTTATTGATAAAAAGTAAATAACTCACAAGAGAAATAAAATCAAATGGAAAGCATGTCACAAGGGATGCAATGTGGTCCAAAAACCCTGAAGGTAGTCTGGTGGGGGACTGTAGACCTCTGGATAGCTGGTGGCTGACGTGTATCGAGGTTGTTCCCCATTCCTCAGAGCCAATCTGACTCTGTTGAAGAGGTACAACCTCGAAGCGCGTCAGACACCAGCTATCAAGAGGTCTACAGTCCCCCACCAGACTACCTTCAGGGTTTTTGGACCACATTGCATCCCCTGTGACATGCATTCCATTTGATTTTATTTCTCTTGTATTTTACTTTTTATCAATAAATATAATTTTTAAAGGTAACGCACTAGGCGAGTGCACCCTGTTTTTGTCTCTTTATATACAGTTCTCTTTGGATTTCCCTGGTCCATTGAGGGCAGCAAGGTTTGCATTATTTTCATGCACATGTGGGGATATTGACATTGTGGAGTCCATTGTCCAGCACAGGAGCTCGGGAACTCGGTTGCTTTTTTCTTCCTATAAGATAATTATGTACCATACTGTTTTTGATTTACAAACTTTTTTTGGTGTTCAGTATGTTGGTGTTTTACTTATGCTCTAAGTTCCATTTGCTTAGGTTGAATGGAACTTAAACTGGGCAGCTTGTAGGCTTCTTGTACCTCAAAAAGAACACACCACTGTGCAGAGAAAACTTTAGTTAGATCCACTTATATAAGGATCGGAATCCTTAGTATCTAAACTATTCTCTGCCTACTTTTCAAGTCAGCTGGGCTTATTCAGTGAATTTGTGTGAAAGGTTTACTTTCTCTGGTTTCTCTTCACTTTCTGTCCCTGAGATGCACTTGGAAGCAAGAACAAACTTCTTCAGAGCCGGTGTTTACATTGAAATATATTTACTCTCAGCTCATGTTCTGGGGACAGCTACAAAAGTTGGGACTTCCTATCACTTTCTGTTTGGGAGAAACTGATCAGCAGGACAATTCTGAAAAGTGAATCTCTTTAGCAGGTATACAGACATCAAGAAAATAATTACAGGGGTTCTTCCTTTCCTACACTATCCATTTTTTTTTTTAATTTTGCCTATACATATACTTGATTTCTGGACAAAAACAAATATTGTCGAAATTCTAAAGCCATGCATGTATTTGAACCTTAGTATAGTTTGGGTATTTATTGCAGATCTGTGTATTAAACATACAATTACTACCAATGCACTCTCAGTGCCATCACTAGGGTTAGTGTCACTTGGTGCGGTTAAAACAAGGTGTCACTCCAACCCACAGCATGTATTACCACATTGCAGTGGCTCTCGCCCCCCCCCCCCCATGTCAAATCTAGCCTGTCTGATGTGGAGGTGCAGTAAAAATGGCAGGAGGGCAGAGGATGTGAGGTCAGCAGTGCAGTGTATGAGTCGGTAGTGCAGTAAAAAAGGGGTCAGCAGGACAGATGATAGGATAGGCAGGTTGTAGGGAAGTGCACAGAGGCCATTACTTTGTAGGCAGTGTACAGTGGAGTATGAGGGCAGTAGACAGGGGTCAGCAGGACAGTGGACAGTGGTCAACAGGGCAGCAGACAGGGGTCAGCAGGGCAATGGACAGGGGTCAGCAGGGCAATCAACAGGGGTCAGCAGGGCAATGGACAGGATGTCAACTGGGCAGTGTACAGGGGGTCAGCAGGGGAGCAGAGAGAGGTCAGTAGGGCATTGTACAGTACAGTGGTCAGCAGAGAACAGGACAGGGTAAATGATGGCAGGGTACTTAGTGGATTTTCCAACACAAATCCCCCCACTGCCCTCCTCCTAATACAAATATCCTCCCCATCCCCCCTCCAAAGCACAAATTCCCCCTTCCCCCCATTCTTGCCCCCTAACACATACCCTTTGCCCATTTCCTCCTTTCAAAGCAACCCCTCAACATACTTCAAAATCAAAGCACAAATGATTGTTCACCTCTCACCCCCCCCCCCCCCCCCCATTGTGTTTTCCAGTACAATTCCCAACCCTTCTCTCCCTGAATTTTACAGGCTTCGAGTCCATACAGGAGAAGTGGCAGAGGCCCAGGCTGAGCTGTACTTATGGGGGTGGGTAATCGTACAGTGCACGATCCGATGTTAGAGTGATCCAGTGTTATCAGCTGTATGATGAAGGATCACTGTTACGACAGGAGAGAGAGAACACAGCTCAGTCTGAATCACTGCCACTTCTCCTGTCCAGAATTTACTGTTTACCGACTGCTCTCCCTGTCCCATCCCTGAGTGTGGGTATAGGGAGAGAAACAGCAGGTGTGGGTACAATGGCCCGAATGGGAAATGACTGAAATGTGGGAGGTGGGGCAACCCTCCCCAGCACCCCCCTAGATCCGGCAATGCATTACCCCCAGCCTGCCACAGTACTCTGTCCTGGAGCTGTGGAGTGACAGCAAGGCAGAGCAGCCCCCAATCAGTGTGCTGTCATGGGATGGGATGGTGTCACCCCTCTAGCAGGCGTCACCTGGTTGTGAACCGCACCCTCCATACCCCCATAGTTCTCTAGGTTTCTGTACAGGAGCTTCATGTAATACAGAACAGTCAGTGCTATTCTCACTTTTTTTGCAATGACTGGTCTTGGGTAGCCCCCTCCCCCCTGTAGCCTTCTGCAGTCAGCCTGTACTGCGTGAGCCTACTGCGTCTCACCCACAGCTCTTATCTCTGCACAGGTTATGTACAGCACAGCTATGATGTCACTGCTACTTCAACAATATCTGCGTTAGCAGACTGGTACACACAAAATTGATGTATATTCTTTGTGGCTATTAAGGCCAGGTGATTCATGTAGCATTGACTTCCTGGAATCCATCTGTCCTTAGCTAAGGCATGCAGACAGGACGGTGTCCTTAGCTGAAAAAAACCATCCTCTCCTCCTGAAGACTGTTGATTAAGAGAGCGAAGTTAACTAGTTAAAATTTGTTAGGAGACTAATGGTTAAGGTAGATAGAACCATGGAATAAGCGTTCTGTACCTCATGAAATGGATCATGTTTGTGTACATCACAGTTGTGGCCAAATGAAGGAAAAGGGGACATGCAAAGAATTCCTTTTGCTATGCTATGTTTGGTGTGTATTGCTAGAGAGGTTTTTTTTCTTGGGAGAGTTCATGTGATTAGCACAGGGCCAATCAGCACTGTCCAGACAGAGGTCAGGGGTTTTGCATCCTCTTAGAGCAGAAAGAAAACCCCTCCTACAAGCTTTAACCAGTGCTCTGCTGGACACTGATAGAAGTCACAAGACTGCTCTAACTGCTGATGAAAAAGGTAATCAGGGGAGAATGAAAATTCCTCCTACAAGCTGCAACCAGTGCTCTGCTGGACACTGATAGAAGTCACAAGACTGCTCTAAATGCTAATGAGAAAAGGAATTTAGCAGTTTATATTTACTAAAAAAATAGCATTTCCATGTTGTGTGTACTGTGGGAGACCAGATATAGTGAATGCAGGGTCCTGGGTTTAGTAACACTTTAAAAAGCATCGGGAGAGGTGCAGAAAGCATAGATCCACAAAATAAATGGAGCAAAAACCGGGAGATCCTTGCACTGCACGTCCATAGCATTCTTTTCATCATGGAGAACTGTGAGCAGTACAGTAATAACATCACCAAATCTTGCTCCAAATCTGCAAATATTCAGTTTTGGAGATCCGTTCTGGATGCATTTCTGCATTTAAGCATTTTGGATGCGTTCCAGTGCATTTTTGTGATGGTTTCTGGATATATCCCAGATGCTTTTTTTCTTCTTTTTTCTGTTTTTTTTTTTCACTGTACTGGAGTCCACTGTGTTTTTAATGCAGTTTACCACATTCCAGTACAATCCTATGCAGGAAAAATGTTCTATTTTTTTTCTGGAACTGGAACACCTTGGAACTGACCGCAGTGGTGTGAACTATGCCACTGGAAACCATATACCCTACTTTCCATTTGTTTTTGATGCAGAAAAAAAAAAACGCACTGGACTGCATGTGGTGTGAACTGGCTCTTAGGGTTCTGAATAGGTACAATTACCATTTCCATATGTTCATTATAAGAGAGCAAATCTTCCATTCTTAAGCACAAAGCCATTTTAAGTTTTACACATAAATAATCAATCTGTTTGGTGCCATTTACTTTAAATCATTTTATCATAATATGTGTTTTTTTAATAACTATAGCAGAAGCATTTTAAGTGATTAATACATTGGGTGAACCCTTAAATCTGTAACCCTTCCATTACCAAGCATGCTACTAACCATACTACATATTAACTTGGCACATGAACTGTACTGTCACTCAGGAAGCTCATATACTGGGTAAGCAGGGTCAATGTACAGTACAGTACAGTGATAGCAAGAACATGGAAACTGGCAGAATACAGGCCCGAGCCACTATAGACCCAAGAGCCTAAATGTCATTATTGTGTATGTGCTTTAAATTAGATTCTACACTCCAGTTCCACATCAATATAGCTGCTCAGAGCAGTCAAATGACTAAGCAAGATGACTGCTGGACATTTATATGTACAGGGGTTTAACCACTTCAAGTCCGGACACTTTCACCCCCTTCCTGTCCAGGCCAATTTTCAGCTTTCAGTGCTATCGCACTTTGAATGACAATTGTGTGGTCATGCAACACTACCCATATGAATTATTTAGCATTTTTTTGAGACAGATAAAACTTTGTTTTGGTGGGATTTTTATTTTTTTGCTATAGAAATGAAAAAATCCCAATTTTTTTTTTTAAAAAAGTGTTTTTCTTATAAAATTTTGCAAATAACAAATCTTACTTCATAAATCTTGTCCAAAATGTATTCATTTATCTTTTTAGTAAAAAAAAAACCCAAATTAGTTTATAACCAAAAATTATAATTTTTCAAATACATTTTTTACATTTTTATTTTATTTTGTTATATTATTATTTATGGGTTTTTTTTTGTTTTTTTTTAACATACTGTCACCTTAGTAGTAGTGTCACCATAGTGACACTACTGCTTGTGGGGGTGATGAAGATTTTTTTTTTTCTTTTTTTGCACTGATTGCTTTTACACCCATAAAGGCTGTAAAAGCAATAATTTCTCCTTCTCTCTGGCTGCATCCCTGCAGCCATTGAGAAATACTGTGAGAGCTGTGATTGGTCACAGCTTGTCACATGGTACAAGGCTGTTGTGAATAGCCTTGTATCATGTGACCTCTGTGATCATTCACAGATTTCACAAGTAGTAAGCAATGATGTCAGGAGGTGACATCTTACTTACTACTATTTCATGTGATCACTGATTGGCCAGTCAGTGATCACATGAATCGGACCTCACACAAAGGTCCCACACAGCGATGCGAAGGACCACGGGCACCGATCGTGGTGCTGCCCTGTCCCAGGGAGCGCGCACAGGCAATGGATGCTGGGGAAGGTTTAGAAACACCCACATCGGCAGTGCTCCCGTCCAGCCGTTTATCGACATGGGCCAGGTGGGAAGAGGTTAAATTGGTTGTAAACCTTCACATATACCCAGTGAAGTGACTGGCCTCAGGTGATACACAGAAATTAAACTAATCCTTTCACATAGGTTGTACCTGTTTATCTATAGCTGTCTTTCATCTATACATCTATTCAAAGTGTAGAATTTACACAGGATCTGTCATCTCTGAAAAGCAGGGGGCAGGGAGCTGAAGTTACAATAAGTGAAGAGAGCTCTGAGAGTTGATTGGAGGGAAGGGACACACACCCCCTTCACACAGCACACAGGAACAGAGCTAAGGCTATCAATATGCTGGAGGTCCCTCCCCTGTCACCATTTTTCTCTTGGTGTCAGGAAAACATGTCAGAAGTGACTCATGCTGATAGAAGAGGAATGAAGCAGCAAACAGAAATGATGCTTAGTGCTCTGGATTGACACATGTATACACTATAGAGGGATATGCTTTGTTCATATTTCATGCCTGGGGTTTACATTCACTTTAAGTCCCCCTGACACTTATCTGCTGTGAAAGAGAGAAAGGAGAAAGAAGATTAACTTTCTTCCTAAATAGTAAAACAAATTATTTGTCTGATTTGTGTACAAAATGCCTGATATGATACCACTGTACACTCTAAGGGGCTGGTATAGAACAGAGGCTTATAGCAGAAATATTCTAAATTAGAGATAGAGTCGATTCTTAAAGCCTTATTCAAGGATTGGAATGTTTATAACAGCCCATAGATGACTCTAGCCAGTATTGATTCGGTCCTCCCACAGTGCTATTGTATTCTGCCGGTGGGCGGGAGGTTTGCTGGGAACAGCAGAACACAAAGATTACTACAGGTGGCTATCGCCACCAGCAGTAATCAAATGTAAAAATCCAAAAGGTTGGTTGCACCCAAGTCGATTGATGGATCAACTTAGATATAGTCAGATTGTCTATACATGGATTGAATCTTGAATAGGTTCAACAGGGGCTGGCTGAGATGTGATCCATGTATGACCGGCTTATTTCAGCCACTGTCATTTTCAATTCTCACGGGTAGTTTAACTGCTTCTGTGCCGCCCTATAGCAGAAATACTGCTACAGGGCAGCTTGGGTGTGCAAAATCACGTATATACAGTATATATTTGATTTTGCAGTTCCGGGTATTCGCAGCGATCTCTGAGTATTACCGACGGGGGAGAGACCTGTGTATAAACAGCACAGATCTCTCCCCTGTCAGCTCCTGCATACTGCTTTGTATGGCTCTGCATAGCAGAGTCATACAAAACAGTGTGCTTACAGTGTGCTTACAGTGAAACACAAACAACCCCCATAGTGAAACAGCACACAGTTTACCCTTTGATCACCCCACATGTTAACCCCTTCCTGCCCAGTGCCATTAGTACAGTGTCAGTGCTTTTTATTTGCACTGATCACTGTATTGGTGTCACTGGGGATGTCAGTGACACCAAGTCAGTTCCCTCATGTCAGAATGCCCACCGCAGTCCTGCAGTCCTGCTATAGGTTGCTGATCGCCGCCACTACTAGTAAAAAAAAAACATTCCAGTATATATACCGCCATTCGTAAACACTATAACGTTCACGTAAACCAGTTAATTTACACGTATTACGATTTTGTTTAGCAAAGGCATGTAGCAGAATACAATTTGGCCTACATTTAGGATGAAATTTGATTTTTTAAATGTTTTTACTGGACATGTTTAATACCAAAAAGCCAAAAATATAGTTGTTTTTTTTTAATTGTTGGTCTTTTTGTTTATAGCGCAAAAAAATTAAAACCACAGAGGCGATCAAATACCACAGAAAGAAAGCTCTATTTGTGAAAAAAAAAGGACGTAAATTTAATTTGGGTGCAGCGTTGCATAACCGCGCAAATTGTCAGTTAAAGTAACGCATCGCCATATCGCAAAAAATGGCCTGGTCAGGAAGGGGGGTAAATCCTCTGGAGGGCAAGTGGTTATTTGGCTATTGTCTAAACTAGCCATGGTATGTGTGCATGGGTCTAAAAATCCCAACTGCAGGCTCTTATACTAGCCACACTGGTAACACTCCGTTGAAGAGCTATTGCTGCTCTGGTACACATTACAGACATGAAGCCTCAGAAAATGTAGGTTCCAGGGTTAGAAGTGTGCCAAAGATCAGTCATGGTAGCAAGGAAGGGGATGAGATTGAATGGGATGAGATGAGATGGGAATATCCTATAGTGTTTTGGCTTTGTGAATGCAGCTAAATTCTCATTGAAAAGTCAAGCCAAATGTGTCCAGAAGGTTGTAGTTCCGAAAACAGTCATTACTGATGAAAGAAAACATGATAACTTTTTAAGCATTTAAATGTAAAAACAAACTGTTAGAGAAGTTAGATATGTAACTCTTTGACCAGAGTTCAATAAATTTGACAACCACATAAGAAAACCACATGAGAATTTCCTTCAGGACACACAAAGCTGAGATGAACAGTTTCTTTTGCTAATTGCCTTGAATTAGAATTTTAAACAGAGCTGAGATGACTGAACATGGGGCAGAATTTTAATTGCTATTGATCAAAGTCATAGTAATTCTAATGAGTTAAACAAAAGAGGGGTCATTCAGTGCTTGTATTTCATTTAAAAGGTCTATTACTGTATCTTGTTAAAAGACATATGTTTCCAGACCTCCTTATCACCAGATTCCAGCATGCATATCTGTAGTGTGTGTTTAAAGCTGAAGTCCAGGCACAAAAACTTTCATTTAAACATATTACCCAAGGACATACATTCACTTTATATATGCATCATTTATTATTTATTTTAGGTACTTATATAGCGCCGTCAATTTACGCAGCGCTTTACATATATATTGTACATTCACATCAGTCCCTAACCCATAAGGGGCGTACAATCCAAGGTCCATAACTTACATTCATACATACATATACTAGGGCCAATTTGGACAGGATCCAGTTAACCTACCAGCATGTCTTTGGAGTGTGGGAGGAAACCGGAGTACCTGGAGGAAACCCAGGCACAGGGAGAACATGCAAACTCCAGGCAGGTGGTGTTGTGGTTGGGCATTATATGCTTTAAACCCCCAAATGTTAACATATAGAAGTAGTAGGGACACAAATACTGTGCTGTATATTGTCTGTGCAGAGAGAGGAGCTGTGGGAGGAGCCCAGCAGGACTATCCATTACAAGCTGCCTGCAGAAAAAAAACAGGAGGCGGTGGAGACAAGACCAGTCATCCTGTACAAAGTGAAGGAGCAGCAGTGACTAGTCCTTATTACAGGACGCCCCTGTACATGTTTCATACTAGATCACTGCACAGACCTGGAACAATTACACAAAGCACACCAGGATTCAAGCAAGAATGGCTCTTATATTTAGGTAATATTTGCTTATCCCCAGGGGCGGACTGACAACTCATGGGGCCTGGCAATTGCCCCATAGCCCTTTCCAGCCTTGTGGAGGTCCACAATTTTGTCTCTGGTGTCTTTTGAAAGCTCTTTAATCTTGCCCATGGTAGTAGTTGGCGTCTGACTGACTGTGGGGTGGACAGGTGTCTTTAAAGAGCTCAGACAGGTGCTACTAAGTTAGATTAATGAGTGGAGTAGAGGTGGACTTTTTAAAGGCACAGTAACAGGTCTTTGAGAGCCAGAATTCTTGCTGTTTCTTAGGTGTTTTAAATTCTGTCTCTCAGAGTGGGAATGCACATGCAATGTGAATTTCAGACCCCTCCATGATTTCTAAATGGGAGAACTTGCAAAATCGCAGGGTGTTCAAATACTTCTGTTCCTCACTGTATAAAGACTGAAGGACGACAGTCCACAAAAAACTGATATCTATCTAAAAGCTAAACAATTAATGGAGACAATCTTACACGACTATGCTGTTACCCAAAATAGCAACATTCGTTTAATAGTATTGAATGTATATATATATATATATATATATATATATGAAATAGTATCTCAAAAACAGGGGTGGACTGACAACTTATGGGGCCCCCGGGCAATAGGGGATCATGGGGCCCCTGTGTCCTTACCCAAACTCAAAAAAGCCTATGAAAAAGGTACCAGGGGCATCTCATGGGGCCCCCTACTGACCCCGGGCCCTCGGGCAGTGCACGAGTTTCCAAATGGTCAGTCCGCTCCTGCTTATCCCAGAATTCAGCTTTAATGAAGAACTTACTAAACCCAGGACCCTGCATTCACTATATCCTGTCTCCCACAGTACACAGAACATGGAAATGCAATTATTTTAGTAAATACAAACTGCTAAAAACCTTTTCTCATCAGCAGTACATAGCAGTCTCGTGACGTTTATCAGTGTTCGCCAGAGCACTGGTTAAAGCTTGTAGGAGGAGTTTTCATTTACCTCTGACTGTCCTATAAGGTTGCATATCCTCTTACCCTCTG